CGAATAAATAAGTCTTGTGTACATTGATCAATCGGAAGGGGTGCTAATCATGCTAATTGGGATTGTGCACTAGCCAATATATCAGCAAATATCGCCACAGGCGCTTATTAGAGCGGGGCGCTCTTTACGTCGAATATGGTTTCTTTTTTTGTAACTGTAATATATAATCAGGAACTGCAGAAACATAAGAGCAAATAGATTATATGCATCGGGAGGTTTATCAATGATATGCCTCTGTAATTGTTGGGGTCACCCTTTACAAATGATGCTTTTCATCATGTTTATCAATATAGCTGGAGACTTCCTATTCGGTAATATCTTGATTTAATGAGGCTGCGTATGGATCTGGTTGTGCACATGATTCAGCTGGCTTCATATTGCTACTAATTCCAGAGAGGTCATTGATTTCTATAAAATTGTCTAAATGACCTCACTGCATTTCTGAGCAATAGTGGCCCCCAGGGCGGTGGGGTAGCCCAGTGGTTAAAGCACTTGCTCATCACACCGAAGACCCGGGCTCGATTCCCCACATGGGTACAATGTGTGAAGCCTACTTCTGGTGTCCCCCGCCGTGATATTGCTGGAATATTGCTAAAAGCGGCGTAAAACCATACTCACTCACTCAATAGTGGCTCCAGGCCCTACCACATTTCTGAGCAATAGTGGTCCCAGGCCCTACTACATTTCTGAGCAATAGTGGTCTTAGGCCCTACTACATTTCTGAGCAATAGTGGTCTTAGGCCCTACTACATTTCTGAGCAATAGTGGTCTTAGGCCCTACTACATTTCTGAGCAATAGTGGTCTTAGGCCCTACTACATTTCTGAGCAATAGTGGTCCCAGGCCCTACTACATTTCTGAGCAATAGTTGCTGCGGATCCTACTACATTTCTGAGCAATAGTGGTCTTAGGCCCTACTACATTTCTGAGCAATAGTTTCCCCTAGGCCCTATTTCATTTCTGAGCAATAGTTTCCCCTAGGCCCTATTTCATTTCTGAGCAATAGTGGTCTTAGGCCCTACTACATTTCAGAGCAATAGTTTCCCCTTGGCCCTATTTCATTTCTGAGCAATAGTGGTCCCAGGCCCTATTACATTTCAGATCAATAGTTTCCCCTCGGCCCTATTTCATTTCTGAGCAATAGTGGTCCCAGGCCCTATTACATTTCAGATCAATAGTTTCCCCTAGGCCTATTTCATTCCTGAGCAATAGTTTCCCCTAGGCCCTATTTCATTTCTGAGCAATAGTGGTCTTAGGCCCTACTACATTTCAGATCAATAGTTTCCCCTAGGCCTATTTCATTCCTGAGCAATAGTTTCCCCTAGGCCCTATTTCATTTCTGAGCAATAGTGGTCTTAGGCCCTACTACATTTCAGAGCAATAGTTTCCCCTCAGCCCTATTTCATTTCTGAGCAATAGTGGTCCCAGGCCCTATTACATTTCGGATCAATAGTTTCCCCTAGGCCTATTTCATTCCTGAGCAATAGTTTCCCCTAGGCCCTATTTCATTTCTGAGCAATAGTGGTCTTAGGCCCTACTACATTTCTGAGCAATTGTTGCTGCGGATCCTACTACATTTCTGAGCAATAGTGGTCTTAGGCCCTACTACATTTCTGAGCAATAGTGGTCCCAGGCCCTACTACATTTCTGAGCAATAGTGGTCCCAGGCCCTACTACATTTCTGAGCAATAGTTGCTGCGGGTCCTACTTCATTTCTGAGCAATAGTTGCTGCGGGTCCTACTTCATTTCTGAACCATATTTGTCCCAGGCCCTACCACATTTCAGAGCAATAGTTTCCCCTAGGCCCTATTTCATTTCAGAGCAATAGTTTCCCCTAGGCCCTATTTCATTTCTGAGCAATAGTTTCCCCTCGGCCCTATTTCATTTCTGAGCAATAGTTGTCCCAAGCCCTATTACATTTCAGATCAATAGTTTCCCCTAGGCCTATTTCATTTCTGAGCAATAGTTTCCCCAAGGCCCTATTTCATTTCTGAGCAATAGTTTCCCCTAGGCCCTATTTCATTTCTGAGCAATAGTGGTCTTAGGCCCTACTACATTTCAGAGCAATAGTTTCCCCTCGGCCCTATTTCATTTCTGAGCAATAGTGGTCCCAGGCCCTATTACATTTCAGAGCAATAGTTTCCCCTCGGCCCTATTTCATTTCTGAGCAATAGTTTCCCCTAGGCCCTATTACATTTCTGAGCAATAGTTTCCCCTAGGCCCTATTTCATTTCTGAGCAATAGTTTCCCCTAGGCCCTACTTCATTTCTGAGCAATGGTGGTCCCAGGCCCTACTACATTTCAGAGCAGTGGATGTGTTGTTTGAAAAAAAAAAATTGCTCATCCTTTCACAGAAATATATTGCGTCTTTTGAAGCAGTGACCCAAAAAATATATTGTCGCTGCTAACAAAAAGCTCCAAGAATTTTAATTAAATGACGGGTTCCTATTTTAGACTCCCTAAACGCTTTTGGCTCAGTCCCCTGAAGTGTCACTTAACAAGACTTGATGGTATCTGTTACGATCAAAGATTTAAGCAAAATTGTGGAAATGAAATTGTCCGACAATGGACCTACTCTTCAACAATGTCTGAAGCTGCTCTGCATCCATTAGTTAGAGAATAAATGTAGTATTGATTCTGTCATAAATGTGTAGTTTTGATGGGGAGAGTCTCTTGTAGGATACTGAGCATGTTGAGGTAAGTAGATCAATATTGGGAAACAGGAGATCAGTGGGACGGAGCTTGGAAGCTTTTTCAGGAATTCAGATTTCCTTTAATTATTCTTGTCGTTGATTTTTTTCTTTTTGAGGCAAGAAGTACCTTGTCACAGTTTGTGAATATGTTATGAATACAGAGTTGAATGATAGGGCAAGATAATTGGGATTGTGAAGATTTGAGTTTGCATTTAAAATAAATGAAAACACATGTTAGCAGTTGTCTCATGATCCATGATAATCTACAGTAATATGAAATATTATTGTAACATTCCTAAACTGTGTTTGCTATGACTGATATTGGTGATAAGTCACCTGTAACCATGGTAACCCTTTTGTTACCCCTACATCTTGGTAGCTGATGAAATCCATCAAACATGAAATCAAATTTGGCATATAATTATGTGACCAGGAAATCTTTTCAGTGAGTTTTCAGTAAATGTTTGTCACAGAGATAGTTGAGCCAAGATATATACGGTATTGATATTTGTGCCCCTCCCTAACCATGTGTGCTAACCATGCTAACAACGGCCTTCCATTACTATGACAGCATTAGAAATTGGCACTAGTCCTGTTGTCCTTGCCAATCACTGTATGATATTAAAATATTAAAATATTAACGCTCACCCAACCTTGTCCAAAGCTGAGTGTATTAATGAAGCCGTACTATAACCACCATTGGGAATGGAAAAACGATAACGGAAAACATCATCAATAATTCTAGTTCTTGTATGCACAACTTCCTCCATCAACCGGGAAGACAACCAGCCGCCATGCACTGATTGATTCCATGCACTGATTGATTCCATGCACTGATTGATTCCATGCACTGATTGATTCCATGCGCTGATTGATTCCATGCGCTGATTGATTCCATGCACTGATTGATTCCATGTACTGATTGATTCCATGCACTGATTGATTCCATGCACTGATTGATTCCATGCACTGATTGATTCCATGCATTGATTGATTCCATGCGCTGATTGATTCCATGCACTGATTGATTCCATGCGCTGATTGATTCCATGCACTGATTGATTCCATGCACTGATTGATTCCATGCGCTGATTGATTCCATGCACTGATTGATTCCATGCACTGATTGATTCCATGTGCTGATTGATTCCATGCACTGATTGATTCCATGCATTGATTGATTCCATGCGCTGATTGATTCCATGCACTGATTGATTCCATGCATTGATTGATTCCATGCGCTGATTGATTCCATGCACTGATTGATTCCATGCACTGATTGATTCCATGCGCTGATTGATTCCATGCGCTGATTGATTCCATGCACTGATTGATTCCATGCGCTGATTGATTCCATGCACTGATTGATTCCATGCGCTGATTGATTCCATGCACAAATTGATTCCATGCACTGATTGATTCCATGCACTGATTGATTCCATGCACTGATTGATTCCATGCGCTGATTGATTCCATGCACTGATTGATTCCATGCGCTGATTGATTCCATGCACAAATTGATTCCATGCACTGATTGATTCCATGCACTGATTGATTCCATGCACTGATTGATTCCATGCACTGATTGATTCCATGCGCTGATTGATTCCATGCACTGATTGATTCCATGCACTGATTGATTCCATGCGCTGATTGATTCTATGCACTGATAGATTCCATGCACTGATTGATTCCATGCGCTGATTGATTCCATGCGCTGATTGATTCCATGCGCTGATTGATTCCATGCACTGATTGATTCCATGCACTGATTGATTCCATGCACAAATTGATTCCATGCACTGATTATGTAATATGTGTCCTCTTTACCTACAAGGGCAAACATATCAGGTCATATCACGTCACAAGACAACAGTGTATTGTTTCCGTCATCCCGATGGCATTGTTGACATCATTTGAATCTTATTGTGATGGGAGGTTGGAATGATGTCACACTAGACATGCTAGAAACGACATCATAGCGGAAGATTGTTGACGTCATTCGACAAATAGTGGTTTCGCTGCTGTTGTGACTTGCTGTCCTTATAGAGAAAACACTAAAATTCATCTCTGTATGTAGACATCTTCTTTGGTAATAAATAGAACGTTATATGAGTGTTAATGTCATACTCTGTTTACGACAATCATGCCTAAATTTCGGTGTTTCCCTCCTGGGGAAATACCAAATTTAGACACTCGTGTCATAAATATAGTATGACATGAACACAAATATAATATCCTCAAAAAGATGTCTGTGATATGTTTTCCTAGGTGTTCTAAGACTTATGCCCTTTTTGTTTGTTTCAGCCCTTTGTTTGTGACGTGGAAGATAGGGCGTGAGCGGCGCCTGCGAGGGTGTATCGGCACCTTCTCCGCCACCAGCCTCCATGGAGGTCTCAGGGAATACGCTGTCACTAGGTGGGGCTCTATGTTACCATAGTTACACGGATATCCCACCTTGTTATATAACATGGTCCATCCGATTCATTGAGGAGTATAATATGTCATTTAATTTTAAGGTTAAAAATTAATGATCATCTTGACAAGAATATTGAAGAATTAGGTGCACAATCTTTTTTAATCAAAGAGCAAAGTTATGCCATAAGACTTTTGCAAATTATTGCTGTCTGAGAACATCTGAAGCATTTTGAATGCTCTTTATACAGACCAAGGGAAGCACTAAATGTAGGGATACACTTTTTCATGATGTTATCCTGCCATTTACCAATGTTTACTGCCCAATAAGGACTAGTAGAAGTTTGCCATTTTTAAGTGATTAGCTATATGTTGACATTATGGGGTTTAGTGTACTAAAACTGTTAGTTTCTATCGCTATTTTGAACAAGTCTTGATATATGTCAGCTTGGGGTGACACAAGATTGAGATTCTATTTAACATCAAAAATGATTCTTCCAGCTTTTTCAGTTTGTAAACGCTAATGTCCAGTGTCTAGAGTGTTGAAAAGAGCAGCTTACCAGCTTCAGTGGCAGAGAAACTAGAGATGTCATTTGATTGTGGTGTCATCATGGTCATGGCAACTGATGATGTCACAATGGTGTGCTAAGAATTGTGATGCAATTTCATTGTAGCGATACTTCCTAGAGGGTTCACTTGATATCACATGTTGCTTGTCTTTTTCAAACATTTGGCAAATAATTTTAGGCAATTGAGTTATGTTATCAAGTTTTCACTAGGTAAATATGAGAGCAGTGTTTCAGTGGCATGAGAGATGGCCAATTTATCCACTAGGTAAATATACGAGATATGTTTCAGTGCTATAAAAGATGGCTGATTTATTCACTATGTAAATACGAAAGCTATGTTTCAGTGTCATGAAAGATGGATGATTTATCCACTTGGTAGATATTGGAGATATGTTTCAGTGCCATGAAATATGGCTGATTTATTCACTATGTAATGTATGCGATAAGTTTCAGTGTCGTGATAGATGGCTGATTTATTCACTATGTAATGTATGAGATATGTTTCAGTGTCGTGATAGATGGCTGATTTATTCACTATGTAAATGTATGAGATATGTTTCAGTGTCGTGATAGATGGCTGATTTATCCACTTGGTAGATATGGGAGATATGTTTCAGTGCCATGAAATATGGCTGATTTATTCACTATGTAAATAGGAAAGCTGTGTTTCAGTTTCATGAAAGATGGCAGATTTATCCACTTGGGAGATATGTTTCAGTGCCATGAAAGATAGCCGATTTCAGCCAATCCAGAAGGAGGACTTCCCCAAACTCCATTGTTCCGTGTCAATACTCACCCACTTCGAGGATGCTGCTGACTACCTTGACTGGGAGGTGGGTCACATGACGTCTACAGTCTACATGACGTCTACAGTCTACATGACGTCTACAGTCACATGATGTCTGCAGTCACATGATGTCTACAGTCACATGACGTCTACTGTCGCATGATGTCTGCAGTCACGTGACGTCTACTGTCGCATGATGTCTGCAGTCACATGATGTCTGCAGTCACATGATGTCTGCAGTCACATGACGTCTACAGTCAGTCACATGATGTCTAGTCACATGACATCTACAGTCACATGATGTCTACAGTCACATGACGTCTACACTCACATGATGTCTGCAGTCACGTGATGTCTACAGTCACATGACGTCTACAGACACATGATGTCTTACCAACATATGAGATCTACACTAATAGTGATTTTAGAATGGGTGTTGTTAGTTTTGGTTGTTTGTTGTCCCAAGGTTTCCATTGTGACAAGACTTTGTGACTTTGTCTTGAAATCTCAAGGTACCGCTTGCTGATGACGTTTGGTTTAAACATTTTTATCTGATCAGATGTCACCTCACCTGACCTCCTTTAGGGTTGTCAGATCTTCAGGTATCAAATCTGATCAAAAGATCTGATCTGATGTGATGATAGTAAGACTGTCTTCAAACTATTTTTTCAGATTGTTTTCAAATTATTAATTTAAACATGAGCAGTAATTCAGATTGCCAGGAAGTTCACATCACTGACCACTGACAACACTTGCCTCAATATTGGACTGATTTCGGTGTATCTGTAGAAACAGTGGTAGTCTGTTGATGCAGATCAAAATGAAGCTCACATAACTTGTATTCAGCCATTTTGTGTTTTAAATGGCTGAGTTTAAGTGGATGGGCCCTGATAGCATTGTGATTTGAAACCTCTGGTTTACCTCTGATTTCCAAATTCATGGTATAATGGGTATTATATAGCTTAATTTAAGTGGATGGATTCATGATGACATTGTGATTTGAAACCCCTGATTTCCAAATTCATGGTATAATGTGTATTATATAGCTTAATTTAAGTGGATGGATTCATGATGACATTGTGATTTGAAACCCTTGATTTCCAAATTCATGGTATAATGTGTTTTATATTGCTCAGTTTAAGTGGATTGGTTCTTGTGATGTGATTTGAAACCTCCAATTTACCAATCAGGATTGAGTGATTTCCAAATTCACAGCATAAAGTGTTTTAAATAGCTCAATTTATGTGGATGGGTTCTGATAGCAGTGTTGTTATTTGATACCTTTAATTGACCAATCAGAATGGAGAGATTTCCAAATTTATGGTAGAATGTGTTTTATATGGCTGAATTTAATTGAATGAGTTCTGATGACATTCCAATATGTTACCAGGTGGGCGTGCACGGCATCAGAATCGAGTTCATCAATGAAAAGGGGAACAAGAAAACTGCCACCTACCTACCGGAGGTGGCGGTAGAACAAGGTAGATACCGTTCTGGCGCCTGGTCTATAGTCTATATCCCTGTCCGCGAGATCTGTCGAGAACCGTGAACTGTGACAAAAGACACACTATTTGACATTACAACCCGTCTTCACAACGCATCTGCACACTGCGTCTGCACACCGCTTGACACCGCTTGACTCCTATTGTCTCTCCGAATTCAGGGGATGTCGACTTTGTCTCCGTGTCGAGATACAGAACAGTGGGTTCATATATATATCTTGATCACTCGACTGTGATTTAGAAAGTACCCATTATGTCTGCCGGCGTCTCTTGTCAAAATTTCACTAAGTAAAGTGGAAAATACAGTATTATTGCAACCTTTGTGGTACAATGGGTTGTTATGAGGTGTCCGTAGACATCTGCTATATACCTGACAATGTGACATCAAATAATATTTGCTCTGAAAGATCCAGGTTTGATTATTATTACGTGTCGTCCATAAACAATTAAACGTTCAACAGGTCACAAAGTCTGATTCATCAAGTGGGGCGGTCGGGTAGCCTAGTGGTTAGAACATTCGCTCGTCACGCCGAAGACCCGGGTTCGATTCCCGACATGGGTACAATGTGTGAAGCCCATTTCTGGTGTCCCCCGCCGTGATATTGCTGGAATATTGCTAAAAGCGGCATAAAACCATACTCACTCACTCACTCACTCACTGATTTATCAAGTTGCCTTTACAACCAGCATAGGTTGCTGGAGACCAAATCTAACCATCTCCATGGGGACTGGAATGCAACATTGCCATCAAATAAGTGATGATATCAAATGCTTCCTTAGCAACAGGGTCACGGGTCATCTAAGGCACTGCACTTTGATGTGCAGAGTTGCTTTCCTTGGGCACGCCAGAAACCTATGATTGTGGGCTCTAATCCTTATGTTTCTAGGTTTGTCAGCACCATACCTGTGCTTGTGGGTTTCACCAAAGTGGTAAACCTCTTGAGACCTTCGTCACTACAGGCTTTCCTCCAAAATTTATCTGACACACCATGATTTAACTGAATACTGTTAAAAGCTGCGTTAAACCCAACTCACTCACTCACCTTTAGCATACCAGCACCTTCTTAAGTCAAGGGATTTAGCTGACTATAAAAGTCTAGTGGTGGAAACTGGACTTTTACAGTCTATAACTCAACTTGCCTTGGGAGGATGGCATGCGGGGACTAATGGTTGTGGGTTTGGATCCCAAATTCACCCTGTTATGTTTCTAGGTTTGTCAGCCCCGTACCTGTGCTCGTGAGTTTAAACAAAGTGGTAAATGTCTGAGACCTGCATCACTTCAGGCTTTCATCCTACATCAAGCTGACACACTGTGATAGAACTGGAATACTGTTCAAAACACAGTTTAACTGCTGTCACTCACTCACTCGACCCGTGAAGATCCAGGGGTAGAATAGGTCTTCAGCAACCCATGCTTGCTGTAAGAGGTGACTATGCTTGTAAGAGGCGATTAACATGATCGCGTGGTCAGGGTCACTGACTTGGTTGATGCATGTTATTGTATCCCAATTGTGTGGATCGATGCTCATGAGGTCAATCACTGGATTGTCTGGTCCACACTCAATTATTTACAGACCGCCGTCATATAGCTTGAATATTGTTGAGTGCAGCGTTAAACAACAAATAAACAGACAAACAAACAATGTTTAATGCAAGATTTTGTTTTTAGGCTGGGACCGAATTCAAACAATTGACTCTCTTCTTCACAAAGGCGGTTTCAAGGGTCCAGTGAATGCAGAAATTCGGAAAAGTATACGACTGATTCGATACCGTAGTGAAAAAATTACTGTTAGTTATAGTGACTATGTGGCACAAAAGCAGAACGGCCATGCATGATGACACAGCAGTACAGTCTACAGTGGCGGCCATTTTGTATGTTCACCATAAGGCAGGCTTACAAACTACAATCTTGTCATCTTGTTATCGCTGAGCGGACGTTTTCTCAGTCGGAACAACTTATTTGCAGAATGTGATAATTGGCGAAAATTATACCCATGTCTGTATCGGTGGGAATGTAGAGAAATTAATTTTGGTAAATTAACATTTGCAATATGTGCTCCATTGTATGTTAGTTGCAACATAGGACTAGAAAATATAGTTTGGATTAGATTTGTTTTGGAAATATATCAAAAGTAGCTGATGTTTTTAACTTCAAGGGGCATTATCACATTTACCTTTTTCAGGTTTATGGCATTCTTTTTCTTGAAAAAAAGGAGAGTTTTGAATACATATTGTAAATTTTTTCTAAAAGTATCTGCAAATGGTTTTGAATCTCATTTTTATGTACTGTCTTTCTCTCTAAGTAACGATTAGTGTAATATTTTTTGGTTTCTTAAAACGTGCTTATAAACTGTTCGCACAAGAAGGTAATTAATTCTTCAGATTTGAATAACAAACTTTTGCGAACATTAACTGATGTGTCGTCTAAGGCAGTGGTAAAATACCTTGTGGTCTTACTATTATTAAAATAACATAACTTATTTCATAATGATAGAATTAGTAACTCTTAAATCAATTTTTGAAAATTAAAATATAGCCATGACTGGTGATGTTGAAATGGAAAAATGTCTTTAAATAAGAGATCAGTCCTCAAAATAACTGCAATATTTGTCAAAAGATGTGGGTTTTTTTATGAGTAAAGTTTTATACCAAAATAATGTTAATAGATTTTGCCTTCAGTTTATCAGATCTAACAAAGTGGTTATGAAAGGACAGAGAGGTATGTTAAACACTGCCTAACATGATACGAAAAACAGTGCTATGTTAGGGTCGTAGGAATTAATTACTGAATTATCATCCATATTTACCTGAAAAATGGGGGAGACATTTTATTTATTAAATTTGAAGAAACATCATGCTTTATTAGTCGTTTCGAGAACACAATGACTTAGAATTGAGTTCAACCAAAAAATAATTATGATTATTAATATTAATAAATATTATAATAAGTCCATTTATGATGCGGCAGATTCCATTCACCAAGTGAGTGTTCGTGGTGCTACATTATTATTATCCCTGGATCAGTGTGCATACAAATTAATTCTCAGCTCCCTGGGGAGTTTAGAAATCTCAGCTCCCTGGGGAGTATAGAAATCTCAGCTCCCTGGGGAGTATAGAAATCTCAGCTCCCTGGGGAGTATAGAAATCTCAGCTCCCTGGGGAGTATAGAAATCTCAGCTCCCCGGGGAGTATACAAATCAAGTTGTTGAAGCAAAACACGTCTTTAATGAGGGATGATAACCTGAGAATTAATTACACTGGCCTAACTCTCCCCTGCATTTGCTCCCACCATACTGTCTGCACAGGGACCATTGTTGATCAAACTATGCAACACTAGGAGGTTAAGCCTGCCAAGTAGTATCTCATGTAATCATTGACACCAAAGATACATTATCAAGATATTTATTTTGTAAGAATAACTGAACCCTTTGTTGTCATATTCATAGGTGTAAATGACCTCCTGATACTGGTTATAACTGTTGGGTAAATGAGCAAAGTTCTTGCTGTAAACCACACAATGCAGTGAATGTTTGTTTCAATGGCTGCCTGTTGTTGTCATGGCAACCATCACAGGATGTTATCTTGGCTGTGATTGGTTAGATGGGACTTCTTCATATCTGATCAAAACCAAAACATCACAATGATATGATAATGTATTAAACCAAGTATATACTGTTTACAAGTAGATTGAATGAGATCACACTACATACTGGTTTTATTTGAAAAGGAACATGCAAAGTTAAGATTATTTCAGTAGATTTTATGCAGAATTTTTGTTTTCAAAGATTCAAAGTAATTTAATTTTTATTTTGTGTTTGGAAGGCTGTAAAGCTGTTATATTTCAAGATAAAAAGTCAAATAATTTATCTAATTGGGAAATATATTATTGCATATGTTAGAACTATCAAATGAAAACATTAATATTTAATATCCCATTCTACCACATCTGAGTCTGTGTGTTGTGACTCTCACAAATAGAATCTGATTGGTTGTTATCCAAGCTAGGGCGGATGTGTTGGCCCCTCCCATAGGCCCGCCCACATGCTAAGCCACACCCATTGCTGCCACTGTAGCTGTACTTTGACTCTAGATCAAGCCGTCATTGCATTTCAACTCTCCATCAACATGTTTCCGAGTCAGGAATATTTTTTCTCAGTTTTACTATTCATACTTTTTTGACTGTTTTTCATGTTCTATGATATTGTTTTTTTGTAAAAATATCCAATAAACTGGTATGTAGGTGTGTGGTACGGCGTGATTGTTTATATTCATGTAGTGGACTTTGCCGGTAGTATGTAGTAAAGTGAATATTTCATACATGTATCTCAGGCCTCACAAAAATGAACATATTTCAGACTACTTTTTAAATGTAACATATTTATAAATACATTTAAATCAAAGTTGCTTTTAATTATGATAAAAACTGACACTTAAGGGACAAACAATGTCTGAAGAATTCCTTTTTTAAATTTTATGAAATACAATTTGTTTGGCCTTTGAATATTAACGATGTATACTTCTTATTATTATATGTGAATGTGAGAGTTTCACTATTGTCAATCAGATATTTGAAAAGGACAATTTTTCTTTTGTATTGATTTTGAAAGTTTTTATTTGGGTGCATTTTGAACCTAAGGAATTTGCGTGAATAAAAATATATATACAGTTGTGAAAAATTGACTTTGAACTTTTTTTTCAAGAAAGTTGATTTCCCAAATTTTAATACATGGGGCAGCATATCTGTATTGAGAATTAGGAGAAGCCATTGAAAAAATTCAATGCAGATATTTTGATTTAAGATCAGTCTCTTAATTTCATTCCCTTTACAATACAAAAAATAATACAAAATAGTTCTGAAAGTAATAAAGTTATAATCTAAAAATCGAAAAGACTTAAAATCAAGTTGATTGAAGGAACACATGCAGCCCTTTGATTAAATTTGAAAAAATGAAGTTATGTTTCAATTCCTTTTTGACATCACTTTTAATAAATCTCACAAAATTATGTTATAGGAACACGTTTTTAAATCTTCACTGGCCATATCGTTTGGGAAAAGGTCATATTAGAAAAAAGGGCCAATCAACAATGAAAGCAAATGTTTTATCCTTGGTAGGCTTTGTGTTCTGAGATCTATCACTTGTAGTTGTCACGGATACCATAGCCTATCACAGATATGACTGTTTCTGTGTATTGTGAAAGAAAAAACACAAGAAAGCTTCTATCTCTATTTTTCTGTTATGCACTCAAATTAAGGCAGCACTTTTCAAGAATTTGGTTGGCAGAAATTGAAATGTATACCATTGTTGTGTTTGTCAACTTACTATCAGCATTTACTATTCATGAACAACTGCCGATTGTCTCGCTATTGTTTGGTTGATCTCAGAGGCAGTAGAGAGAATCGTCAGTCATCGTACTAAGTCTGAGACCATATAATGGTTATCAGATTTTAAACATCCCTCTTCAGACACTTTTAAAAAGAAATCAAGAGGTTTTAGTCTTCATTTAGAAGGACCAACGTAAAGGTATTTAAGGAATATTTTAAGAAAATCCCAATTTGGCCAACTGTGAGAAATTTGATATAGTAATGTATTGATTTCCACTTTCCAAGCATTTCTGATTTATTTAAAAAATATGTTGATATAACTGATCGAATAATAGTTACAAAACACTTTGAAGTCACTGATAAAAATTCTCTAAATACTGATTTTGAAAATGTATTTCTAAAACTTTGGTAATACATCTTCTGAAAGAAGTTTTGGTAAGATTTCAGTTCAAATTTTAAAAACTGTCTCTGGTGTTATTTGCAAGTTGTGATCAGATTTAGACAATATTATCACCGATCATCATTTTCCATAAACTGGCTGTGTATGCTTTTTCGCTTTGATGTGAGTGTCCATTTGATGCAAGAAATCAGACAATTTAGATACTTTTAGACAATATTTTGTATTATTTACAAACTACTAAAAAATATTACCATATTCGACGTAATAAGCGCCCAGGGCGCTCTCGAAATTAGAAATAGGGGACTCTTATTAGATTGTTATTTTGGTGGAAAAAAACACCAAAGTTGAAAGATAAATTTCGTGGTTTATGCTGACAGCCTGAAATGTTTATATACGACAGACATTTTTTTCCAGAATTTAATTGCCCATAAGCGCGCGAGTACGTATTATACGCGAATAAATAAGTCTCTTGTACATTGATCAATCGGAAGGGGTGCTAATTGGGATTGTTCTCTAGCCAATATATTAGTAAATATCGCTGTGGGCACTTATTAGAGCGGGGCACTTATTACGTTGAATACAGTATTATTATGTCATCTGAGAAGAAGTCCCCAAAGAGGATTGTGTAATGAAGGGTGCTTTCGGGTATAATCCACATTCATGTAAACAAACCACTTGGGCATGGATGCTGTTGTTTCCCAAGTACTTCATATTTAATGGATATTTTATTTAAGAATGTAAACCAAGGTTTATTTCAAACATTACATTTTATCAGAAATGATATTTTCATCAAGACAGTTTTTTAATATTATGAAAACAATTTGCCGTAAAAGGCGACTATGCTTGTCGTAAGAGGCGACTAACAGGATTGGGTGGTCTGGCTCACTGACTTGGTTGATCCATGTCATCATTTCCCAATTGCGAGGATCGATGCTCATGATGTCAATCACTGGATTGTCTGGTCCAGACTCGATAATATACAGACTGCCGTCATATAGCTGGAATATTGCTGAGTGCGGCGTTAAACAATAAACAAACAAAACAAAATGAAAGACTATGTCAGAACTTTGTAGAAATACAAATGAGATACCAAACCCTCATCACTTGGCGCTTTCGGGGCACAGGTGGCCTAGCCATCTAAGGCGCTGCAATTTGCCGTTAAGAGTTATGTCCCTTGGGCATGCCAGAAACCTATATGATTGTGGGTTTGAATCCCTGTTTGCCCCAATTCTTTCTGGGTTTGTCGGCACCATACCTGTGCTTGTGGGTTTCACCAAAGTGGTAAACATCTGAGACATTTAAATGTTTTAAACAAAATCTTCATTTTATTATGTAAAGAGTTCTTCCCCTAGGCTCAGCCAGGATTCACTTCTCATGGGTTCAAATCCCAGATGACCCTGGTCTGTCATCAACAACCCCTGCTCGTGGGTTTCACAGAAGTGGTAAGCGTCTGAGACCTGCATCACTTCAGGCTTTCCTCCAACATTTAGCTGACACACAGTCGTATAACTGAAATACTTTCAGTGGCATCAAACAAAACCCAGGAGCACGGGTGGCCCAGTCGTCTAAGGCGCAACGATTCACTGTGCAGAGTTGCATCCCTTGGGCACGCCAGCAACCTATGATTGTGGGTTCGAACCCCGGTTCGCCCCGATTATGTTTCTATGTTTGTCAGCACCATACCTGTGCTCGTGGGTTTCAGCGAAGTGGTAAACGTCTGAGACCTGCATCACTTCGGGCTTTCCTCCCACATTAAGCTGACACGCCGTGATATAACTGGAATAATGTTAAAAGCGGCGTTAAACCCAACTCACTCACTCACTCAAACAAAACCCGCTTGCACCGACTTTTAAGCAGGTTAACACTGTGGGGACGTTGTGGTTTTCGGGTTTATGTTATGCCAACTTCATCAAGATTATGAAGATCACATGCACAACAAAAAAACCTGTTCTGAATTTGTTCGTCCCAAAATATTTGCACTATACAACATTCTGCAATTTCTCCATGATAATTAGGTTGAAGAATAAGAAGAATTATTAATTGAATATTTATGTTGTATGTTTTCTGAGACCAAAATTTTTAATTATCATCAATTTGGATACATTACCATCAAATGGACATTGGAACTCTGACCATCAGTGTGTGTGTTGTGCATCACTGGATGGGTTTAGTTTCAGCCGCATCCAGCGTCTTGTGTCCTGGCACTACAAAGGGAGATAACTAACACATTCTCACTATGCACACTGTTGACTCAAGTCATGCTCATATATCATATAGTCGTTTACAGAATGTCACCCTGTTTTGTGCCTTGATCCAACATCCATCAATTATATGTATCAGGAGTTGTGATTGGCTGTAAATTTCTATCTATTGTCTGAATGGTTCCCTCACCTCATTAAACCATCCAATGGCCATACAATCAACACGTTGTGGCAACGACCATTTTCCTTCATTGTGGCAACAAACTACAACTATTTATGAACGATTCACTTAAGAACTGAGATCAACAGTTATCAATATTTCAAATATTTAAATAACTGAAAATTATTTTTTTAAATTGTTTTTGCTTCATTAATGAAAAATATTGTTTTTCATCTTGTCTCCATAAAGAGCTGATAAGGAAATTGCACCAACACATACTAGTAGAGATTCATTGCTCAAAAGAAGTTAAAGGACACCCAATGGTTTTGCATGACAGATAAGGCTTAAAAAAATAAAAGAATTGGTTCTCAGGTTCTCTGGTTTTTGAAAATATAATGCGGCCAGTGAGCAGTGTCTTTTTTGTTGTTGTTGTTCAAACTAGTAAGTAACCAATAAACAGTTGTGTAATCAATAAACAATTGTGTACAATCAACCTGGGAAAGAGCCTCCCTACATAAATGTATTCCTTGATGATATAAATACTGGAATACAGTATTGGACCACTGATGGACTTGGAATATTGAAGGATTTTTTTAAATTTTATTTTTTTAATGGAAATAAAAACGAAACTTGCAGCGAACTTTATGAGGATGCGGGGGGTGCCTGAGAACCAAGACTTAACTATATATAGCCTTAACTATAGTAATTGAAAAAAATCAGGTGTTCGAAACTTCTTTAAAACATAATCTGTTTTACTTCATTACAATTTCAACAAGTCACAACAATATTAAAGGCATTTGGACCAACAGCATTTTGTTAATTTGATCATGGATCCACTCTCTCGATTTATGAATTTGGAAAAATGACAAGCTTTTGGTTTTATTTCGGTCAAGTTTGTAACCCTTTTGTATTTTCAACTCTTGCAAACAGTTTGAACGAGAACATTGTCAATACAATACAGGTTTGTATACACTATATTCCTCCAATAGCGACACCCGGGTGTCCCAGTCGTTTAAGGTGCCGCCATTAGCTGTGCAGAGTTGTGTCTCTTTGGCGCGCAAGAAACCTATGATTGTGGGTTCGAATCCCGGTTTGCCCTGATTATGTTTCTAGGTTTGTCAGCACCATACCCGTGTTCGTGGGTTTCACCAAAGTGGTAAATGTCTGAGATCTGCATCACTTCGGGCTTTCCTCCCACATTAAGCTGACACGCTGTGATATAACTGTAATACTGTTAAAAGCGGCGTTAAACCTCACTCACTCACTCACTCGATCTAATCCTGGTTTGCCCTTGTTTGCCAGCACCATGCTCATGGGTTTCACCGAAGTGGTAAATGTCTGGCACCTCCATGTCTGGGGCTCCAACAACACAACATTTATTTGACATTGAAGCAATGTCGTCT